ATTTACTAAAAGATGAAGTCACTGTTAAAAGTACATTTGAATTGAAATAGAATTCCAGGAAAACCTTATAAATATATACAGAAATAATTATATACTTCATTAATTAGTCGTGACTTTAGATTTGATTTGTAGATCTAACAATCTTGATTATTAAGAAATATCCATAAAATTGAATTGGTTTTTAACTTGAATTTCAGAATTATTTCACAATTAATATCACGAAAACCGTCATAGTTATAATAATCACTATATACTTTTATTAATTATCTATAAACTTAGCTTTGATTTGAATATTTAACGTAATTTGTAACGTTTTTATTCATCGAGAAATTTGCTAAAATTTGCTTTTTCTTGCATTTGCTTCAAATTTGACTGTTAAAAAATAATTATATAGAAATAAAATTTACTTATTAATTTACATATGGTGTTAGCTTTCAATTAAATAAGTAACATTAGTTCTAACAATTTTGGTTATTGGATATCGATAATTTATTTTCAATTTTTTTAAGAATTAATTTCACGAAAACCGTAATAGTCACATTAATCACCATACACGTTTTTAATAAACTATAGATTAAGCTTCAAAACAAGTATTTAACATTATATGTATCTTTATTAGTTATCAAGAAATTCGTTAAAATCTGAAGTAACATTTAATTTGATTATTTTAATAAATTTGACTGTAAGATGAAATTTTAACTAAATACTTTGCAATTATTAAAATTATCTATTACATTAGATTTAAGTATTTAAAATTCTTTCTAACAATCTTGTTTATTGAGAAATAATTGCGTAATTGGGAAATAATTGCACGGAAACGGTGATAGCTAAATAATTATCTGCATGTTTATTTCACTCACTAAATCGAAAACATCGCTGTTTCTATTGGATTATGCACAGATAAGTTAAAAAAAAGACTGATTAACTTAATTCCACTTTAATTCTACTTTTCAGTTTATTTAGTGAATTAATCATTTCGTTATAACTACAAACAATAAGATTGAGATGATTTCTGGTCTTCATCGACGAATATCGGATGATGTAACTAACTTCGGTTGCTCGCAGATGTAGAAAGCTTGAGTGGTGCAGCTCTCATCGTTCATAACCAATTTTTTGTTGTGCACCCAAAGATGCATGCAATACTCGTTGCCCTGTTTGTTGTTGGGTTCCCCGGGCAACCATTTTGAGGCGAGCCCGACCGGATATCCGCTCAACATCCAATGGAATTGAAGAGGTTCCATCGCAGCAGCCGACGTCCAGAAAGCCATACCGTGCTCGTATTTAGCTTAAATTCACACCAAAATCAATTCATTTCCAATGTAAAAATTATAAATAACAAAAAGAAAAAAACTTACTGTTAGTTTTAATGAATTCGTGCAACTTATCGAACTCATCGTCAGATTCGATGCTCACCAAATTCATGCCCAATTTGCTGCACGACATGAACGCTTTGTAAAAAGTAGCCTTAATTAAAAAAAAAATTATAGAGTTAAGTAAATTGCAATTTAGTTTTGTTTGATGTAAATACCTTGTAAAAAGTTTCGATGTAGTACAATTTGTTTTTGTACTGGAAATGAAACGGACTTCGTCTCTGCAAAGTGTGCGCTTGCACCGCAACCAAAACGAAGGAGGCGAGGAAAAACCATTTGGAGAAGGCCATGATTGTCGATCGAATGTTTCCAACTGACTGAGACACAACTTGAGATAAAGATTAGCGTTGCTGCAGTTTTCGGAATTTCCGACGTTAATAAATATCTGGTGTTTTTGCACGAACCTGACCGAGGTTATCGCGTAAGACGCAAATAGATTTTTCAAGAGAACGAATGATTCATTGAACCCCAAGTATATTAATTACATTTGTTTATCAATATTCGGTTTATATAATTGTTGACCTTGAGGAAACTGGGGGATTTACAGATAATTTCTGATTAAACTGCTTTCGATTTCATTTGCGTTTCAGTGTTGCTGCTGCGATGATGAGTGTTAAACTGTTGGCGATTTTGTTGGTTGCGTTGTGCGGTGGTGTTTCGTCCGCTTCAGCTTTCGCAAAGAGGAGTCCGTTTTATTACGAGTACAAGGATAAACTGTATTATTTGGAAACTTTCTACAAGGTGATTCAATTGAAATTTCAATTTTTGGAGTTTAAAAACGTTCTTTCTGCAGGCAACGTTCTATAAAGCCTTCATGTCTTGCAGTAAAATGGGCATGAATTTGCTGAGCATCGATTCCGATGAGGAGTTCGATAAAATCCATACGTTTGTGAAGGATAAAAGTAAGATTTGTTTTTCAAGAGAAATTCGTGTTTTTATGTTAGTTTTTTTTTGCAGTGGAATACAAGGATGGTTTGATGATTTTGACGTCGGGGGCGGCGAAGGAGATGCGCCAATTCCATTGGATGAATACAGGAAATCCGGTTCGATTGTCCAGGTGGCATCCGGGCGAACCGAACAACACCAGCGGACGCGAATACTGCTTGCACATTTGGCTCACGAACAACAAATTCCTGCTGAACGATACGCACTGCGATTTGGAAATGTACTTCATTTGCGAATCGAAGAAAATCTAAATAAATTTCCCATCTCGAACGTACAGAATATGTTTATTTTTTATTACTAATATTCATCATTATTACTAAACGACAAGATTTCACTTTCCGAACTTTTGTTAACAGTTGTTAGTTTAAGGACAATTTTAAAAGGATTGATTGCTAATACTCAAGAAGTGTGTGAAGTTGATAGTTTAACAGAATGCAAGTGTAAGAATTGGATTGAACAATGAAGATAATTCACTCAAAGATAATCAAGGTAGAGCTACAGAAGTTTATGGTACCAAATCAAAGTCATAATTGAATCGTTTTATAATTGTACAAGAGATTACAATGATGTTAAATGTTTCAAATACAATAACTGAAATCACTTAATTATCTTGGACTCGTTAAGAATCTCGATGAATAGAAAAATATTAACTCAACGCAACAAATCCATCTCAACCGCAATAAAATCGTCACTTCTCTTAAACAAATCATCGAATGGATTGTCTACAAATGAACCAGCAAAAACCACATCGAAAGCTGAATTGCATCAAGCTGTGAATTTGGTGGAATTACTAAGGTATTTTGTGTTTTGAGCTGCAATCAAAGAACGAAACAAACAATTAAGATGTTTACTGTCAAAACCTAACGAAATTGGATGAAGCAATCAAAGAAAAATGGTCAGAATTGGAAAATTGTCTTTCATCAAAACAATGCAAATCCTCGCACATCTTTGATAACTCGTTAAAAGTTAAAGGAAGAGATGTCGCATCCCGCATATAGCCTTGACCTTGTGCCCTCAGATTACCATTTATTTTGAAGATTGCAAAACTCTTTAAATGATAAAACTTTCACTAATTATGATGACCTAAAATCGCACTTGATTCAGTTTTCTGATGATAAGAACCAGCAGATTTGTGAGCACAGAATCATGAAGTTGACAGAAAGATGCTAAAGGATCATAGGACGAAATGGAAAATATTAAATATAATTGAAGTATAAAAAGAAATGAGTTTTATTTCATTATATACTTTTATATTTTAAGAGAATCCAAATTGTTAGTAATAAGTTTGATAATAATGATAATATTTTCAAATCGAAATTACATATACAATTTTAAAAGGATTGATTGCTAAAGCTCAAGAAGTGTGTGAAGTTGATAGTTTAACAGAATGCAAGTGTAAGAATTGGATTAAACAATGAAAATAATTCACTCAAGGATAATCAACGTCGAGCTACAGAAGTTTATAGTACCAAATCGAAGTCATAATTAAATCGGATCGTTTTATAATTGTACAAGAGATTACAATGATGTTAAATGTTTCAAATACAACAACTGAAATCGCTGAATTGTCTTGGACTCGTTAAGAATCTCGATGAATAGAAAAATATTCACTCAACGCAACAAATCCATCTCAAACGCAATGAAATCGACACTTTTCTTAAACAAATCATCATTAGTATTGACAAATGGATTGTCTACAATAACATCAAACGATGCATCAAGTTGAAAAGATCATGCTGTGAATTTGGTGGAATTACTAAGGTAATTAGTGTTTTGAGCTGCAATCAAAGAACGAAACAAACAATTAAGATGTTTACGGTTTAAATTTTAATTTTGGCAACGAATTTTCTACTAAAACAATAATTGCAATTCATATATGCTTACTTGATTATTATTAGATTAATTAATGTTATTTCAATTATCATTGAAACTTAACATTTACTTAACACAGTTTAATCAAAATTTGAATATTTAACATTATATTATTTATTATTTGCAAAATGAATTACACGGAAACCACAACCGTTACAATAATCACTATACATTTGTTTTGTTTTTTTTAATTATGTATAATTTTTTATTGTAAATCTATCATTTTAAGTTATTGGGAAATTTACTAAAAGATGAAGTCACTGTTAAAAGTACATTTGAATTGAAATAGAATTCCAGGAAAACCTTATAAATATATACAGAAATCATTATATACTTCATTAATTAGTCATGACTTTAGATTTGATTTGTAGATCTAACAATCTTGATTATTAAGAAATATCCATAAAATTGAATTGATTTTTAACTTGAATTTCAGAATTATTTCACAATTAATTTCACGAAAACCGTCATAGTTATAATAATCACTATATACTTTTTTTTAATTATTTATAAACTTAGCTTTGATTTGAATATTTAATGTAATTTGTAACGTTTTTATTCATCGAGAAATTTGCTAAAATCTGAAAAAGTTGCTTTGAAATATGTAACATTAGTTCAAACAATTTTGGTTATTAAGAAATATCAATAATTTATTCAACAATAATTTTCATTTTTTTTTATTATTTAAGAATTAATTTCACGAAAACCGTAATAGTCACAATAATCACTTTAAACGTTTTTAATAAACTGTAGATTAAGCTACAAGATAAGTATTTAACATTATATGTATCTCTATTAGTTATCAAGAAATTCGTTAAAATTTATTGTGCGTACTTTTGTTAACAGCTGTTAGTTTAGGGTAAATTTTAAAAGGATTGATTGCTAATACTCAAGAAGTGTGTGAAGTTGATAGTTTAACAGAATGCAAGTGTAAGAATTGGATTAAACAATGAAGATAATTCACTCAAGGATAATCAACGTCGAGAAAAATATTCACTCAACGCAACGAATCCATCTCAAACGCAATGAAATCGTCACTTTTCTTAAACAAATCATCGAATGGATTGTCTACAAATGAACCAGCAAAAATCACATCGAAAGCTGAATTGCATCAAGCTGTGAATTTGGTGGAATTACTAAGGTATTTTGTGTTTTGAGCTGCAATCAAAGAACGAAACTAACAATTAAGATGTTTACGGTCAAAACCTAACGAAACTGGATGAAGCAATCAAAGAAAAATGGTCGGAATTGGAAAATTGTCTTTCATCAAAACAATGCAAATCCTGGCACATCTTTGATAACTCGTTAAAAGTTAAAGGAAGAGATGTCGCATATAGCCTTGACCTTGTGCCCTCAGATAACCATTTATTTCGAAGATTGCGAAACTCTTTGAATGATAAAACTTTCACTAATTATGATGACCTAAAATCGCACTTGATACAGTTTTCTGCTGATAAGAACCAGCAGTTTTATGAGCAAAGAATCATGAAGAAAGATGCTAAAAGGAAATGGAAAATATATAATTGAAGTATAAAAAGAAATGAGTTTTATTTCATTATATACTTTTATATTTTAAGAGAATCCAAATTGTTAGTAATAAGTTTGATAATAATGATAATATGTTCAAATCGAAATTACATAATTTCTTGAGTTTGGAAAGAAACATGTTTTGTACGTTCGAGGTGGGAAATTTATTGCTAAACATCTTAAATTTTCTTCGATTCACAAATGAAGTACATTTCCAAATCGCAGCGGCTATCGTTCAGCAGGAATTTGCTGTTCGCGAACCAAATGTGCAAGCAGAACTCGCGTCCGTTGGTGTTGTTCGGTTCGCCCGGATGCCACCTGGACAATCGAACCGGATGTCCGGTGTTCATCCAATGGAATTGTCGCACCATCTTCGCCGCTCCCGACGTCCAGATCATCAAACCATCCTTGTATTCCACTGCAAAAAAACCAAACATAAAAACACAAATTTCTCTTGAAAAACAAACCTTACTTTTATCCTTCACAAACGTATGGATTTTATCGAACTCCTCGTCGGAATCGATGCTCAACAAATTCATGCCCAATTTACTGCAGGACATGAAGGCGTTAAAGAACGTTGCCTGCAGAAAGAACGTTTTTAAACTCCAAAAATTGAAATTTCAATTGAATCACCTTGTAGAAAGTTTCCAAATAATACAGTTTATCCTTGTACTCGTAATGAAACGGACTCCTCTTCGCGAAAGCTGAAGCGGACGAAACACCACCGCACAACGCAACCAACAAAATCACCAACAGTTTAACACTCATCATCATCGCAGCAGCAACACTGAATGAAACGCTCAGAGAGATGAAACTCGTTTAATCAGAAATTATCTGTAAATCCCCCCGGTTTCCCCAAGGCCAACAATTACATAAACAAATCAATATCAGTTTAAATTTAATTACTATAAATTACGCATTCAGAGTTCATTGATTCATTACAGCAAAATCTACTTTGGATAACCTCGCTTGGGATCGTGCATAACAGCAGATATCATTATTTATTTACATCGGGAATTCCGAAAACTGCAACGCGTCTACGAAAGGAATCTTTATCCCAAGTTCTGGTTCAGTTAATAGGAAATCTTCGATAAACAATCACGGGTTTTCCTACATGATTTCTCTTCCTTCAATTTCGTTGCGCAACCAATAATTTAACACTCATCATTGCAGCAAGCAAATTCAATTCAGAAAGAACATACTGTAGTGGTTTATAAACAAATGAATTAAACACATAAATTCTCATAAAGTTGGCGCTGTAAAAGATAACTTTAAACTTCACATATCTTTTTGTTAACAAGTTATCAAGCCTTTACGGAAATAAAAAGTAAGATAATGTTCGTTTTTGCACTCCTATTAAAGTTCTAAATTAACTTAAAAATGACATCTGTCAAACGAGAAAAGGAAACAATCAATAACATTGACAGAAGTCAACATAAATATAAATTTAATTCAATAAAATAATACAAAACTTTTCGTGTATCTTAACTCAGCGTTCGCAAATATAGTAAACTTGATTATTGCAATTTTCATCGTTCATAATCAAGTCTTTGTTTTGTATCCGCACTTCCAGACAATACTCGTTGCCATCTTTATTGTTAGGTTCCCCGGGCAACCATTTAGAGGCGAGTCTGAGCGGATATCCGGTCAACATCCAATGAAACTGCAACGGTTCAATCGCAGCAGCCGACGTCCAAAAAGCCATACCGTTCTCGTTTTTAGCTTAAATTCGCAGTAAAATTGAAATCAATTAAATCTATTTGGTTAAACAAAAACTCACTGCTGAACTTGATGAAACTGTGCAACTTATCGAACTCATCCTCAGAATCGATGCTCACCAAATTCATGCCCAATTTCCGGCACGACATGAACGCTTTGTAATAATTAGCCTTAAATAAAAAGAAAAGAGTTAATCAATTGCAATTTAGATTGCTGCAAATACCTTGTAAAAAGTTTCGATGTAGTACAATTTATTTTTGTACTGGAAATGGAACGGACTTTGTCGTTGAATAGTGTACGTTTGCACCGCAACGAAAACGAAGGAGGCGAGGAAAAACCATTTAGAGAAGGCCATGATTGTCGATTGAAAGTTTCTAACTAACTGAGACACAACTTGGGTAAAGTTGTTTTTTATATACTATCCATTTGTATTACGATCCAAGTCCAAAATTGTATCCAAACCATGTAAGTTAAAGTAATTACACATATATGTATTAGTCAATTCTGAGAGACTACAAACTAGTCTCTAAGAATGGAGACTTTGATGATGCCTGGAGATTTTCATCTAATTTGGGAGTATCTGTGTGTTCTTTCAATTTTTCTGCAATGAATGAATGTTAAATGATGATTTTATTAGTTTCTTTGTGTGGTTCATTCACTACAGTTTTCGTGAAGTGGGATCCGTTTTGTAACACGTCGTGGGATGATTCAGTACGACACTTCTTTTTCTTGAGAGTTAACTGCTTCCTTATGATCAGCAAACTTCTTGTCCAACAGTGGGCCTTGGTTTTTCTAGAGCAGCATTTTCCAAACTGTGAGGCGCGCCTCCCTGGGGAGGCGTAGACTAGTCTAAGGGGAAGCGCGAATATTACTAGCAGTGAACAATTTTCCAAATATCTGCTAAAGTGTAGATACATTCCTGTGCTCTTATCATATTGCTGTAATACGCGTTCAAAGTTGAGAAATTGAAATTAGAACGTTCGAAAAAGCAGTGTTTTCACATTTCAT